ATCTTTTCACCCGCGCGCGGTCGCCCCCCCCCCCCCCAGCGGTGAAAATGTCGTCCACGCTGCAGCAGCTCCTCATCCCGACGTGCGGCGGCGGGCCCGAGCCCCCCCGTAACAAAGTGACGGTGGTCGGGGTGGGCCAGGTGGGCATGGCCTGCGCCGTCAGCATCCTGCTCAGGGTGAGTGATGGGGTGGCGCGACGGGGCGCGGCCCCACCCGCAGCTAACGCGAGCGCCTTGCGCAGGAGCTGGCGGACGAGCTGGCCCTGGTGGACGTGATGGAGGACAAGCTGAAGGGCGAGTTGATGGACCTGCAGCACGGAAGCCTCTTCCTCAAAACGTCCAAAATTGTGGCCGACAAAGGCAAGACTGCAATTGACCCTTTTTGATTTCTCCCATCGAGTCGGAAGATTTTGTGAATGGTGGATGAGCGCGCACATTTGCTTTCGATTTCTATTTTGATGTCGATTTGCTTTTTGCGTGATTTTTCTTTCTCCCGTTGACATTTTTGCCTTGTTCACGTTCGTTTTTTAAGGGCGTTTCGAATTTTTCCTTCATCCCTTTTTCATTGATTTCCCCCCCCCCCCTTCATTTTCTTTAACTTTTAATTTTTTTTACTTTAATTCTAAGTTTTTACATTTTGTTGAACTTTTTAATTTTCCCAATTTGTTTTCTATTTTTAAACTGTCATCACTTTTTTTTTAATTTTGGACATTTTCCTTTTTTCTGTTTCTTTTGCTTCTGTCAGTGCTGTCAGTTTAACGCGTTATTATCGGCATTCATTTAAAACAATTTTAACTTGATTCATTTTGTTATCGCGAGATTAATGCGGCACCACGTCGCGGATGTTAGATTGCTCTCAAATAATAAAATGTGCTCCAAGTTTGAATAACTGCTCCAAGTGAAAAATGTTCATGTAAAATTGAAAGTCGACATTGTTGTTTCAGTAAATGTTTGCATTTTGCACAAAGAAAACTGATTCACGATTCCATGTTGATGAGAGAATTAAAATGGGAAAAATAGGAGAAAAAGAAATCTAAGGAAATTTAGAATCGATAAAAATCTGTGATTAATTACGGCTAATTCCAAGTTAACTATGACACTACATTTGATCGCGATTAAATATTTTAATCGTTTGACAGCACTAGCTTCCGTTTTATGTGTAGATTTGTACTTTTTTCCTACATTTCTTTCAGATGACTTTTTCTTTCATATCGTTTTGTCTTTATTTTTGTGCGCGCGAATGGCGTTTGCGCGGCTGAGCTTCTTGTGTGTGGCGTGCGCGTCTCAGACTACTCGGTGACGGCCAACTCGCGCGTGGTGGTGCTGACGGCGGGCGTGCGGCAGCGGGAGGGCGAGAGCAGACTGGACCTGGTGCAGCGAAACGTCGACATCTTCAAGCGCGTCGTCCCGCAGATCGTCACCTACAGCCCCGACTGCGTCATCCTGGTCGTGTCCAACCCGGGTAAAACGCTTCACGCCTCTTCGCTCTTACTTTGGGAGCACACCTTTCGACTGCGGACAGAGTTTATGGGGTTCCTTTGTTTTTTTTCCAACTGGTTTTGCTTTGTTTTGGGTTTTTTTTTTGTACATGTAGTTTTTGCCCTTTTTTTTAATTGAAAAAATATTTTAATTAATTTTTTTCCCCTCTATTTTTTCATGCATTTCTGCTTCAGTTTCTTTTTTGGACATTTTTAAATATTGCCTCTTTTTTCATACGTTTTTCTCCCCCCCCCCCGCCGTCCCCTGACATCGTGGGTGTCAAAGTCATTTTTGTCACAGGCCACATTATAATGAGCATTTCCTTAGGAGTGCCGTTATGATTGAAACTATATAAAGAAGTCAAAATCACGTTTTATTCAATTATTGTTTCGCTCACTTTAATGAGGGGTTTGCTGACAAGAAAATGCTTACAATATGTCACTGATTTATTACATGTGAAAATTTGAAATTTTGGTCCATATTGTCGCAAACATCGTGGAAGTTGTCATCTTTGATTTGCTTTCGCGGGCCACTTAAAATGGTGCGGCAGGCCACATCTGGCCCCTGGGCCTTGAGTTTGACACCTGCGCCTTATATGTAGGCGATGTATTTGATTGAGCTTTTTTTTTTGTTCATTTCTTTTTGCTTTTGACTCCAAAGCATTGCGCTTTAGCGCGCTCGCTTTTCGCTTTCCCGTTCCCAGAAAAAGTCGCGCGAAGTGCGTCGATCTTTTGCCCGCCGGTTGTTTTTGGAAGCGGCGTTCCTAACCGCGTCATTTGTTTTGCGGCCTCGCGCCGCCTAGTGGACGTGCTGACGTACGTGACGTGGAAGCTGAGCGGGCTGCCGAGGCGGCGCGTGCTGGGCAGCGGCACCAACCTGGACTCGGCGCGCTTCCGCTTCCTGATGGCCGAGCGTCTGGGCGTGCACCCGAGCGGCTTCCACGGCTGGGTGCTGGGCGAGCACGGCGACACCTCGGTGCCCGTGTGGAGCGGCGCCAACGTGGCCGGCGTCGGCCTGCGGGCGCTCAACCCCGACGCCGGCACCGACGCCGACCCGGAGAACTGGAAGGAGACGCACAAGATGGTGGTGGACAGGTGAGACCGCCTACTAACTTTTTGAGTTGGACTCTCGCAAAAAACTTAAAGCGAGAATTCCGTGTCGTGTATTGAAAACGCTGAGAGGCGTCGCTCGAAAGGACGCCAACGAGCGTCAATGCCATAGGCGGGCTAACAAAACGAGCCTCAACGTGTTACAACCGTAACCCTTTCGAAAGTCATTCGCTGCCATTGACAAGTCGAGTTGTCAGCGGGATCGGGTGGGATGAAGCGTCCGATGCCGCGCCGCTGTTATTCCCAAGTTGGCAGCAACCGCCAGTTGATGGTGTCGATGTTGCGCAGCTTTGGAGACTGTTAAAAGCAGAACTAAAGTGTACGTTTTAAAAAAAACAACACCACAGTTCTCCTTTTTCGGGGCTGCAACATGTATCTATATCTATTTGAGCTATATGAGCCTACGATCAAAATCTTTTTCCATTTTCAAACATTTTTATAAAGCTCCAGGGAGCCACTAGATGTCGCTAAAGAGCCGCGTGCAGCTCTGGAGCCGCGTGTTGCCGACCCCCGGTGTATTGTCACAAATGTGGCTGCTGAACTCTTGACATTGCGTTGGACATTTTCGGAGCGCGGATGGCTTTGTTTCTCGGAAAAACACTCTGCATTCATTTCGACGCTCTTTGAGTACACGGGGCACAAAAAAAAAAAGTTCGTTTTGTACCCGACAGCGCCTACGAGGTGATCAAACTGAAGGGTTACACCAACTGGGCCATCGGGCTGAGTGTGGCCGAGCTGACGGAGAGCGTCGTGAGGAACTTGAACAGGATTCATCCGGTGTCCACCGTGGTGCAGGTCAGCACATCCGTTCTTTTCCCTTTCCTCTTCAAATTCCCAAAGCGGAGCGCTGCAAAAACGCTTTGGCAGTTTTTTTGGGCTCGTTCGGAAAGGGATGACACGAACGCGCTGCGTGTATGCAGGGCATGTACGGCATCGCGGAGGAGGTGTACCTGAGTCTGCCGTGCGTGTTGAACGGCGGCGGCGTTGCCAGCGTGGTCCGCGTGAGCCTTTCGCACGACGAGGCGGCGCGGCTGCAGGCCAGCGGCGGGCGCATTTTGGGAAACCTCCAAGGGGCTG